CAGATTTCTTTATTATTTTTTAGTTTTATTTGAATAAACTTGAACGTATAGCATTCAATGAGTAGTACCTTCTGGAGGATGTGGAAACAGTTCCCAAAGATCTTCTTACCGAAAATCCAGGTTAATTTTGTCTGAATTTAACGTTCTAGTCTATAGAAACAAAAATCAAGATAAAAAATAAACGGGGAGTATCTTTGAAGTATGAGACATTCTTCAATTGTTTTAAAAATTTACCAAAACACTTTCATTACATTTACTAAAACATGTTTCTATACATTCGAAATGCAAAACATTCGCACCTACAATCCTGACCACCGCAAAGTCAATTAATTATGTAGAAGCACGCGAATACGAAGAAAAAATGGAACAATTTGTCTGACCACAACCTTCAAAAGCAGGATTGCATCAAATAATGAAATTCAAATCGATGAAGAATGAATTAAAAAAGAAGCGAGATGAATATTACTGGAGTTTTTTTCCAACACCAAATCGTTATTTTTAACACCTCGACACGTGTTTTGATCACCAAGTGATCATCTTCAAAGAGGAAGATTAAACTCATAAAACTCATAAAGTTTAATCTTCCTCTTTGAAGATGATCAATTGGTGATCGAAACACGTGTCGAGGTGTTAGAAATAACGATTTGGTGTTGGAAAAAACTCCAGTAATATTCATCACTACACCAAAGGTTCCAAACAGTGCATCATAAGAAGAAGTGAGATATTAAAATATGAAGCGATGTTCTTTTTTAACACGCTTTTATTATCTTCACCTGTATGTATGTATGATTGTCAGTTTGTTTGTAACTCTCAAACTCGGGATCTGTATTTGACAGAATCATGGACAGTATTGCTTGATCTATTCGCGGGAAGATGGCGCTATACGTAACCTCCTTGATATATCGACATTATTGCTTGATATATTCGCGGGCAGATGGCGCTGTACGTAACCTCCTTGATATAATTCGAACTCATTTTACATGTATTTCTTAATTTGAAGAAAGTATTTTTTTATTACCACGCGCGCCTGCTGCCTTGGGTTTGGTAGCTGATTTTCAGGCTCCCTCTCCGGAATCGAAAAATATCAATGGTCATTTTTCTAAACAATATACGGCTGATTGATCCCACAGTTTAGATAAAATAAATATAGTTTAAAAAGACTAAAAAACATACTTTTATAGCACACGAAACTAAAAAATGAAAAATAAAAAATATTTTTTAACTTTTTAGTTCGATGTTCTTCAAAAGCGTGTTTTTTAGGTTTTTAAACTATATTTATTTTATTTGTCGTGACAGGTGTAATCACAGTAATGACACTGGCTTTGATTAATTTCTTCTTCACATAAAAAATAATTATGAAACAGGTTTAATTGATTTTTTGTGTCTTCTGCTCGACTACATAGTCATTAGTCTTGTGTTATAGGTAGACTATGGCATGGGTATAGGCTCAGAAACGCCTATGGAACATCATGGCTACTCGTATCTCGTCAGCCATTGGGAATTTATTCATCTTCAAATAAATAACTTACCACGGGAAAAATATCTGGCAGAAGGCGGATTAGAACTTTTCGTTTTTTGAGATACCTTTTGATAGAGTTGCTGAGATAACGAAATATAACAAGATCCTACAAAAATTCTGATGAATTTCTTTTTAGAAAATAGAAAACATAATACTCTTAATACAAGTCGTCTAAGACCAGTTGTTCTAAAGTTGTACTCAGACATTTGAGGTCTGTATGAAGGTCTAGAGTCTAGATATTCCCCGGAATAGAGTATCCAAAGATTCCATTGAGGCCAGATATTCAAACATTTTCATGAGTTACCAAATGATCTCCCAAAAATCCAACATTGTGGTCTATTTTAGGTATATCACCTTCCAACTTCCTGACTTTGACAGCATCACCTGCATATACCTACGTTTACGATAATGTAAATGACATGAAGCGTGTTAACCTAGTTCAACAATATGAAAAGGTTAAACAACGCATTCGAGATTAAATATTAATTTTGTATCACCTAGGTCAACAGTGTCCAACATTATGAAGTTGTATTATTTCATAATATTGAATGTAACTGGCCGATACTTGTTAAAAAATCATATGAAAACTTACCATTAGGTACTGTAGTGTCAACAACTGATAAACTTGAAGTCAACTTCTGACTCCGTAAATTAGAAAATTTGGTAGTCAAAAAAATTCTTTCAGCTGTATCGTTACAATTGTGATCAAAATAAATAATAAAATGTCAAATATCAAGGAGTACACAAAAACATGAAGAGAGACAGACAGAAAAAGAGCTAGGTACACTCCTCCGAATGAAACGTTACAACGGTGTCCTGGGCAAATTCAGAACTGTTAAATTCATGTCAATCGTATTTCGTCAGAACCAGGAGGCATTAATCCAGTAATGCTGCAAAAAGAACCAAAACTTCTGGTTTAAAAATTTTGGACGGTGAGTCTGGTTCTGGAGTCACTGTTGTTTCAAGTGTTATAATTGTGTGCTATTGTTATGGTGCTACAATATTTTGAAATAAATATTAGAAATGTTCCAATGTCGGTAAACTGTCGGTTTTTTTAATGTTATTGTCAGGTCAGGTTAGATGTTGTGGATACATAGTTTTTTAAAATTATAAAGTAAGGTTACACTGAGTTAGGTTAGGTCGGGTTAGGTTAGGTTGAGTTAACATGTGACAAATTATGGAATTTCAATCTAATTTCAAGATACTAAGTGAATGAAAAGGGATAGGAAAAATGCGATGATATGGAAAAAGATGTGTTGAATTGAAAATATGTGAATTGCAATCGTTTATTGCTTAATAAAAAAAGATTAAATATGACATCATACAAACTTTGACAGGCTATATCTCGAAAACTAATTGAGTCCGACAAAAAATAAAAAGTGTTCTGAATTCCTACCATCACGTAGTATCATCACAGAAAAAATCGCGAAAATCCGTGAGTATCCCATAAAGTAAAATTTTCCCAAATGATGTTTCACTAGTGTAGTGAAAATCTCACAATAATGTGTTTGTTACCTAACATGGAGACTGATTAAGGCCACCTTCATTCCAAAACCTGAAAAAATCGAACAGGACTCTGCAAAGACCGAGATTGCAAATAATATGAAACCAATCAGTCACATGTTATTTGCAACGAAAACTTTAGAAAAACTACTCGATAAATTATTCAAAAAAACACTTTCATATGAAATTTCCACTAGAAGTCGAATTTCAACCTTATAGTTTATTTTGACTGCTATATAATGGATCGATATGAGTATCGGCTATCTCTATCAAATTACTTGCACTAGCTAATATATCACTGCATCGAGACCAACATGCCTACAGGTCAGGTTTATTGGATATTGAATAATGCGTCCCTAGGATCAATCATTCAGGCATTGAGAAGGGCATTGAGGGAAACGAGCTACAGATGTACACACTCAGAGGAAGATTGAAATATAGTTGTGACACGTGTGCAAAGAGCTCCTGAGGGGGCATATATCCACCTTTATGAAACCACGATTTATAACGCCTTCTGGACTATAATGGATATAGAGTACAAACAAATTAGTTATCCTAGCCCAAGGCAAATACAATAATATAGTAAGAGGACGAATGTAGCAGGCCTTGAATTTTACAAGATGGATGGACCGAAAATGGAGGGCTCTACATACAAATCGACCATAGCATTCGTCGAGAGGACCTAGGTAGAAGGACTAGAACCTCTACAACTCCTAGGTAAAAAGATACAGCTCTTAGGGAAGGTTGAATATCTGGAAATGATAGTAGATCCCAGACTGGCATGGAAAAGACACACAAATAGATAAAAAAAATAAAGGTAGCACTAATGCAAGTCAGTCGTACTCAAGACAGGACATGGAGCTGTAACCAAACATGATGTATCAGCTATACTCAGTAGTTGTATAACCAATAACTAATAGTTTGGTGGTCAAAGATGAAGCAAACTACTGCTATTAACAAATCAAGCAGACTGCAAAGATACTTATCTTTGTTCAGGATGCAATGAAAACTATATGAGCAGCAGCATTGGAGAGGCAACAGAGGGTAAATTCAGAATGGAAAATTTACCTATCTATAAGGGATCAGATGAAATTGAAATTTCGGAACATGCGGAGGAACGAATATTGAATATATTCACGAACCACATGGCACCGAAGTGAAGTTTCGACACAAACTCCACAGTTGAAGTGACAAACCGATAAGGAATATTCATCCTGAAAACATGCTTTGCAAAACACTTGGTTTCAGCGGGGTTAAAAACAGATTTGGGATGGGAGCTGAATTATATTATGCTGGAAAAAGTTTACATTACAGTTGCCGCTCAGTCAATATACATCCATCATTCAAACGGAAGTGTACAACATTTTGCAGTAAGCAAGGAATATTAATTCGAGATCCCAATAAAATGAGCAGATCAATATCGCACGGGGCATCGTTGAAGCCAAAATTGACATCGAGGCTACCTGAAACTGAAACCTGGAAATATACTTCTACCGTTGATATACACATTTATTTTCACGCCAGACGTACAACAGTGTTTTCGTGAGCCCTACAATACTATTAGGAGGTTCAGTATCCGATATTTTTTAATAAAATAACCGACTTGAAAGTTGAAACTATAATCAGCTATAATAAAGCATTTTCTAAACGGTATTACATTTATGAAAAAAAAGTTAACAATATTATTTTCAATGATAAGTCATGAATGAGTATGGAATGGAACTCACTTGTTACACAATGTACTAAATGTTTGGCAATGTAGGCCAAACTCACTGCAGCGCTCTCATCCGAAATCCTGACCACCGCAAATTAAATTAGAATAACATCTATGATAACGAATCGGCCAAGTGATAAATTGCTCAACGATTTCGTATAAACCCCTAACAGAAGCCCGAAATCGAGCGAATATAAGAAGGTGGGTCAGTAATGGGGGCCGGAAAAACGATCGACAAATTTTCCAAGATGTCCGAATACTCACCAAACCGGTACGAATTCCACATCGGTACACTTGTGGATCTGAAAAATACTTCAATAACACAGTCGAAAGAAAAAAGAAGGTTCGCGTTGCTGGTTCACATAATAATTTCGGATTTTTGTGGTGACTTTTTAGGGGCGCTTCTCTGCTAGAGGGTAGAGTTCGAGAAGCCGCGGCCACAGCGAACGACTAGGGGAGTCGAGAAGAGGGACATGCACGCCGCGCACCCCCTTGAAGCCGTTATTGATTTTTCCTATCGCCTAGCCTTCAGAGGCGGAGGGTTGGAAAATGTTTGTACTGAAAAAAGTTTCCCACGATGGATTTTTTCGGTTAGATATGGCTAAACGTAAGTTGTCTCAATTTTTTTTTTGGTTTTTTCGTCATTAGGATTCCTATAATGTTGCCAAGTCTAATTAAAATTAGACTTGGCAACACTGTAATACTAAAAATTCTCACCATTATCGGGAAGGTATTTGAAAGATGTGTTCATAATAAAATGTACTCATTTTTATCCCAATTCCGAATACTGTCAAAATATCACCATGGTTTCTGTCGAGGTAAGTCGACCGAAAGTGCTTCGACAATTTTTTCAAATATATATATACGATTCACTAGATAAAATGAGATATGTGGGAGCACTTTTCTTTGACTTATCGAAGGCATTCGACATTATTGATCTGGAGATAATCGAAAGTAAATTATATTCCCTTGGTTTTCGTGGAAATTTCTTGTCATGGCTGATGTCATACATGCGCTTCAGGAAAATATCAGTTAAAATCGGAGAGCATACATCTGAATATTATGAGATGGACCGGGGAGTTCCTCAGGGATCGATCTTGTGGTCGCTTATTTTTTTATTATTCAAAAATTTATGTTCAAAACATTCACTCTACCCAACCATCCCACGCAGTAGGATCTGCGAATACCTGAAAACGAATATTTTCCTGACTACTACCACAAGAGATATCGGAATATATCTGACACATGTGACACATATATCAGCGGAATTTTTTACACATTTCTCGTTGGTCATCAGCAGGACTCCTCTGAATGTGAAATCATTATCAGCGTATGATTGAGAATTACCACAAACTTGTTCATCTGGAATTCCTTTTTTCAGTTTATCTCTGACTGAATTTCAAATATTCTTGATTGAAAATATTTGATGATTAATGCCACTAAAAAGCCATATCAGTCTGATTTGATATCAGTTAGAGTTGGTATACACGGAACGCTTTTTCTCTGCTTGGGGCTTCATTAACGAGATGGAACTGTTACTACTTCACTCTGGATAAAACGGCTCCAGATTCAGACGATAGTTTCGTATACATGATAGAACTTCGATAAAATCAGAAGACTACCAAACTGCTGTCTTCGTTGAATCTGTTCTTTACCGATGAGGAGTAATACTTTGAAATCGTTTTGTAGGTGATTACTCTGAAATCGGTTTCTAGGTGAATTCGGCGAGGTGCTGCTGCTGGACGAACGGAAATCATCTACAAGATTGTCCTCTATGAGGAAACTTGCGCATGTGTCTGTCGGATATAATACAATTTCCGTCGTAGTAATAGCCAAGTGAATAATGAGAAAAAACAAAATCCAGGCTGGTAAGCAGTGGTCGAAAAGAAGTTATAGTACCAAACGTACCGGCTGCTACTGCGGCAGATATATTCAGTGGTGACCTCGAGATATTATATACCTAAAGATGAGGAAACACTATTCCAAACCTTCACAACTATTATCATCAAGAAACTATATATCATCTTCGGATTTCATCTGACCATCTTTTTTCTGGTCGTTCTCTCTCTCTCTCTCTCTTTTCATCCCTCTCTTCCTGATGGCGTTTTATTTGGGTGAGATTTTGCTGTCCTCCTGTAGATATGACCTAACGAACATATTCTGTGTGCCCAGACAATATGTGTAATGCAGAGTTGTTTGTAGTGATTTATCAATTTCCTGTTTTCCCTTCTCTGTCAGTTTCTTGCACTCCCCCAAACATCATTCCTATATTTTCTGTTTCTTTCTTGGTTTACTTCTGCTCATAATCTTACATTTGCCTCCATAAGAGCTGCTTGGATGACTGCCGTGTATACTTTAATGTTTGTTCTTCTAAAAATCAAGGCTTCAATTCTTTCTCTTGTTAACTGCCAAGTGTTTATTTTTTCAAACAGACAACCTTTGCTTTGTTTTGTTTTTGTTTTGATTTTACTGCTCTGTTTATCCAGAATTCCATAAATCAGTTTTAACTTCGTTAATTCGCGACTCGTAGTTTTTTACAGTGATTTCTAATTTCCTACATGTCCTTTCTAATTCATGTGTTCTCGTCATTCGTTTAGGCTATGCCCTGGTGTTTTCCGGGATATATTTTCTTCTATACCACTCTCCCGTATTATTTACGAATACGTTGGACAGGTTTCCTTCCGGTGTAACCTTCCGACTCTTGTGGTGTCATTTCGACTAGGATTACTATCTTTCCTGATATTGTTCAACTTTCACTGCTTCATATAATTTGTTTTTCTTTATCTTATCCAATTATTGCCTATAGTCTATTGGCATGTGCATTCTTAGATTATCCTCATAACTATAATGTGAAAGTCGTTTCATTGTGAAGATTTAAAAATTAATCGACCTTCCTTTCTTGAATCATACATTTTTTATACTACTTCAATCTATGTCTCATTATCAGCATCAATACCTTGTAAGTTACATTCAGAAGAGCAATTCTACGATAATTTTCGTTCCTGCCTCCCTTTTTATGTAAGGCGCAGATTGAACGAAAGGAATTTTTCTGTTCTTTAATGTCTATATTGCTCTTTATATGACGCATGTGGATTCAGAAGTTCGTCGACATATTCAACCTATTTCTCAAACTTTCCCAGCAAGACGCCTACAGTGTCCCAATCTTACTTCTACTAATAGCGTTCGATTTTCCTTTTGTTTTGTTTTTCTTTGCTTGTTCCTAAACTTTCCTAGTTATCTCCGTATTCTGTTGATTCATACGTATTTTTTGCTTCTCGATTTCCAACTCTTTCCTGTAATCTACATCGAACTACAACTTAGCTTCAGTTTGCTTGACTTCTGTAACCATATTCTTACTCTTTCACTTAGAACTGAGTTGATTAAGATCCCATTCAGACTTGATGTCATTGTTTTTTCTAAATCATTAACTATCAGCAACTTACTCAACCTCCAATTGCTTCAGTTCAGTTTTTTGGAAACCTCGATTTATCCTACTTTTTACAACTGAGTTAAAAGTTTGTAGTAGTTTTACTCACGTTGAAGCTCAAAAATATTTATTACTACTATGCAGTCCGCTCTGCGAAGATTCTCACATTGACAGATTTTCTATGTTTAAAGGAAAATGAACTTTATACTGAATCAAACCCATTAATTTATTACATTACACGATTTATATGAAGCCTGTCGTGAGATTTATCTATGACGATAAATAAGAGTACAATGGGTATTTAACTTGAGCTTGACACAAGTAAATACAAAAAAAAAATGTTTTTTTCAATGAAATAAATACATTTTACAACAAGCTTTGATGTCACATAAATTGGGTAATGAAAGAAAATGATGGGTTTGATTCAATTCAAAGTTTATCTATTTATTGAAGCGAACAAAACCCGGGCAGGTAGGCCGTGGTCGAATGAAACCTAAAGTACCAAACGTTTCGTCTGCTACTGCCTTACATATCATCAGTGATATGTGCCTTGACCGCGAGGACTAAGGTCATATACAGAAGTCTCGCAATGACTGACTGACAAGCTACGTGTTCACTCGTATTTCTAATTTCAGAGGGTGGTGCGGTGATGATGAGGATGATAGTGGGGGTTGATGGTAGGGGCATGGAGGGGTGTCCATACAAATGCTCACACCTTATTGGGCCACACTTTTTCTGAGTCGTTCTGTTTTGGTCTGCATTGTTACTGAGTTTTTCCACCTTCAGAAATTATAATTACTAGTGAGCACCTAGCTGGGCAGTCAATCGTCGCTGAGATTTCAAAATATAACTTTCGTCCCTGCAATCAACGCACATACCACTGATGATGTCTGCCGCAGTAGCAGACGAAACAACGTTTGCTACTTCAGGTTTCTCGGACAACGGCCTAGTAGTCCGGACTTGGTTCTCTTCAATCATGACTCCGGTCATGAAAGCTGTTTACTTTCTTATTTTTCCAGCAAGTGTGTAAAAGCTTGATTTTAAAAACATTTTTACTAATGATTTTTTTTGCTAGCACTCATACCGACCCTTTGACGATTCGTACACCGCTTTATTGCGGTCTGTCTATGAAAAGAAAAATCACAAATCAAAACCACGACCGCGCCCCTTCGCCATACCGCTGGGTACACATCCATCCCGGTAATTAGTAATTGTCACGGTACAAAAAGAGCAATTACGAAAAGTATATTCCGTCGGTAAAACCCATCCGTTTAGTAGGCCAAAAGTTCCCAATGCATAAACGGTTAGTTCCTCCTGACGAAAATTAAGTAGTTTTCATAAAAGATCTCTAAAACAACGCATTTTAAATTTATCATTTCAACCTCTTTCTTTAAAAAATTATTTACATACTTAAAAAAGAGGAGTGAAATAATGCATTCAACATTTAAAGGGATTCGTTTCTATTTCACCATTTGGCATCATCGGTTATAGCTAATAAAGGACAATGAATATGTTACATTTGCTGTAATAACCAAATTGAGGAACATTCCCCATTGTATTGTCCGATTTGGTTTGGTTTTGTGCTTTAGCACCATATATACAATTTTTTCAACATTTAATGCTAGCTTATTTATTAGTAACCATTGATAGTATTTGATTAGGTGATTATTCACTGTTTGTTCTAATGTTTCAAGACAGTTATTTGAATATACTAGTGCAGTATCATCAGCAAAGGTTAAAGTATCTTGCACTCATACCAGCCATTTTCAGTGAGTGGAGATACAAAAGATATAGTATAGGTCCGAGAAGTGACCCCTGTGGCACACCAATATTTGTATTATACTCAATTTTGTGTATAATTTTCTCTCTGTTAGGTACGTTTTTAGAAGTTTATAAGCAACACCTCTGAATCCCATACTAAACAGTTTGCTCATAATCTTATCTACATTCACAGTATCAAATGCTTTTCTGAGATCTACAAACACCTTTATTATATATTTCTTTTTATTCAATTCAGAAGCGACATAGTTCAATAAGTCTGTT